GATTATATGTCAATTTTGTGTAAAGTCAGTCAGTAAACAAATAACTCACCTGAATAGAATTATCTGCGTTAACACGGACTACAGATTTACCATCAATATATATGTCCAGTGCGACCATTCTGGTTGGAGGTTCGTAAGGATTTTCACCATCTCTACCTCGGAAATCAGCGTTGATTTGAAATGAAGGTACAGTTCTACCACACTCCTTTGTCAGTACATATGAACAAAATCCATTAAAGTTGAATCTATATCCGTCAAACGTGGCCAAGTGGGGGTCACCTTTAACAAGACCACCTGCAATAGTAGATTATTAGCAAACAGGCGTATTCCACAGTGAAGTATGGAATCTATATTTTACATTTTGTGATTAAATAAACAAAGCTTGCATAATCTATATCCATTCGTCGTGTTAGTGAATGACTGGAAAATACACTAGGCATTGTGACTTTACTTTCACATACCTTTTACACAGCTTCAATTCATATGTCAAATCAGAAATGTAGCTAATTGAGCTTCCTGTAAAGCCAACAATTACATATTTCTAAGTGAAGCATCAGTTATTTAGTGAAAAACAACTGTATTTAATTATTCCTCGTAATATACAAGCTTGTTAGGTAGTTATATTCAATATGCAAACTAACAAAAAGTTTTTATCATAAAATGCCCCGAAATGTGCCTCAGGAATTTAACATTTTTATTGTAAACAAATGTATAATTTACTCACAATGTCCGAACGTGTCGATTACCCATTGATCAGAGACTGGATCGTGGAATCTCATTACAAAATTGGTGAAAGTGTCCCCAGCTAATTGCAGACCGGGTGAAGATGCTTCCGTATCGGTTCCTGCAGGTATGACAATAGTGCCGGATGTCAGGATGTGATCCGGATTTAGTTCAGCGTAAATGTAATACGGGAAGTCGAACTCTTGATGGGAAAGTACGACACCTTCAAAGTCAATTATTATTATTACTTTCACTCTGATCCTTAGATAACATTCAAGCCATTTAGTTAGACAAGCAACTCTCCAACCTGAAAATAAAATACAAAAATGTCAATTCCAATGGTGAACCCAGCATAATGTTGCTTGAAGCATACACTCGACTGCAAACCAACTGAGCAGATGCTTCGATCGCTGTATAAAACATGTCAGTCAAATTGAATTCACAACCTTTTTTCCTATATTTTACATTCAATTCGTCAACAATCGGTGAAAATAAACTCCGTACAAAACACCCAAGAAGTCTTTTCAGCGAAAATTAATTCCAGCTAAAATAAATTATTTACAGTATTAATATTATAATAGAGATGGTCGGTGCACCAACAAATACTTGCCTATAAAATGTCAACCCTCACATGCACAAATCCGTCTCACATCACCAAGTAAGATATAAATAAAGCAATACTACTAGGGCTTTATATAACGTTTATATAATATTTACACGACGAATATTATTAAGGTTATAGAATATTTCTCCAAAGTTTCTTTGCAGTAGAAAAAAATAAATCAAAAACAAAATATACTTGTAAAGCGTACAAAGACAATTTGAACACTGGCAAGGACACTTACATAGCACTCAAATAGCGATATTTTTTTACTTTCAAGTTATTCTTAACAAAGTAGACTTAAATAATAATGAAGTCAAGTGAGTTACTGATACCCCATTAGCAGAAAACATTATTTAAGTATGAAAGAGTGATGTGTATATTTACCTACGTAAATGTTTGGGATACGTATGTCAATAATTGGACAATTGTCCCACACTAATGTACTACTATTTGCATGAACAGACGCGGGAATATCATTGACACGTAAACTCCGTTAGTCATTGAGTATACTATAATGTAATACAAATGTACAAACTTTTAGTTTGAGCTTAGAAGAGATCATAGTTACTTCCATTAACTAACCTGTGAAGCGTTTTCCAACTGCAGTAGACTTCGATTCGTTGAGTTCAGTTGTTGGTAAGGCCTATAGAACGAGACGTGAATCTTAGTTTTAATGTAAACATACCGCACATATACTCGCCTAAAATAACCATTTTATAGAGACACTACTGCTTTACAGTGCATTGAACATAATTTATCAAAATCCAACAAAATAACGTGTCACATATTTCAAGTCCATTATAATGTTTATATATTTATCTGCATGTGATAACACCAAATCATAGCGTGTTAATGTTATCACTCCGTCACCAAACCACATTACAAAACAGGCAAACAACGAAACAGAATGATTAAAATAAGTAAATTACGAGCAGCAACTCATATACAACACTATACACTATCAAATACTTACGATAGCAACAGTGACACATACGGCTACAAGCATCAAAACCAAACTCGAGTGAGCCATTGTGATTGACACAGAATCAACCAGTGTTACAAAGTAAGGCAAAGTGTTGTGTTGAAGAGTGGGATGGGGTGCATATATTCAACATTCGACAGGGAGTACGGAAACATCTGTTATTACGTCATTTTATTTATCATATTTAGAGACACCGCTGCAACAACAACAGGATACCGGAAATAACACACCTAATCGTAATTGACAGTGTTCAGCTGTTGTTAAATAAATCATACTGATTTGATATGCATATTGCTGTCTCAAGATTATGAAAATATGCTATGCTCATGCCATGTGAGTAATTTGAATTAGATATTATCATTATATTTTCACGCACATCATTTCGTGAAATATGCAGTATAAATGGTATGTATACTATATACAAATTAATATTAAAAAAATATTATTAATATAATAGTGTGTCACTGCCATGCGTTCGCCTGTTTGTCCGGTCGGTCGATCGCTGAGTGGTTTGTTGGTGAGTGGGGTTGGGTGATTGTAAGC